CGGTCGACCCGAGGAGGGGCTGTCACTCTGTCCTGCAGCCTGAGCACTGGAGCCGTCACCACCAGCAACTATCCCTCCTGGTACCAGCAGAAACCAGGCTCTGCTCCTCGACTGCTTATATACAGCACCAATACCAGACCCTCCAGGATCCCTGCCCGGTTCTCTGGGTCCATATCCGGTAACAACGCTGCCCTGACCATCACCGGTGTCCAGGCAGAGGATGAGGCTGACTATTACTGTGTTGTGTATACGGGTAGCAGTGGTAGTTGGTCTCACAGTGATCCAGCCAGATGGGAACAGAGACAGAAACCTCCCATCATCCCTCGTCATCTCCTCCAGCCTGGGCTCTCCACTGGCTGCACAGTTTGGTTCCTCCCTGCAATATATGAGACACCGATTGCTCCTCCTTAGGAATTTCAGCCACCAGCTCTTGCTGTCAGCAGGGGGCGCTGCTCCACCCACTCCCCATTCACTCCCTCTGGGGGAGATGTCAGCCGCTCTTATGCTCACTGCTTGGTATCTACAATGGAGCAGCTTTTGCTGCCTTAGGGATCCCTATGCTACAGACCCACCACTACGTGGATCAAAGTGGGATCAGACGGCCACATGCTCCTTGGGTAAAGGATGCTCCACAAAGCTCCTTCAGCCTTGTCTGAGCCAGTTCCATCTGCTCCCCACTCCCAATCTCTGAGGGACTCCAAAGGGCACTGGCCTCGTCCCTGCTTCTTCCCTCTCCACCCCACTCCATGTGACGGGTTGGACCCCTTGGGAAGCCACCTGATGTGCTGAGATACCCCTGAGTCTACCTGTTCTGCCAGCCTGGGCCTCCTTTAACCTGTCTTGCTGAGCCAGGCCCTGAAAACCTCCTCGAACACACACACAGGCAGGGCCACCCCCAGCTGCAGCTAGCTCTGGGAAGACTCAGCTTCAAGGACTTGCTCCAGCACTCAGCTGTCCCCACCTCCCTGGGAGTGCAGACCCAGAGATATAGTAGGAAATTCACCCCCTCCCTCAATGTGGAGAGAGGGCTGCACACTTCTTACCCCGCCAGTTAGAAATTACAGAAACTGGGTTTAATAATAAACAAAACTAATTTTATTAACTATCAAAGGCAGATTTTAAGTGGTAAAAGGGGTAAGAAACAGAAGAAAGCCGATTACTAAGCAAATGAAATCAAACACGCAAACTAAGCTAGTTTCACTAAAGAAATTGGTTACAAATCGTGTTTCTCACCCTAGATATTGTTGCAGGCAGGTTGCAAAGTTTCGGTGGTTCAGAGTCCCCGTTATATTCCTTTTCAGACTGGGCCCCTGTCTCAGTCTGGACTCCCCCCTTGCCTTCCCTTTTGCAGTCTTTCTTCTTGGGCAGACAGCCATGGAGAGGAGGAATCCTGTTTGCCTTCCTCCCCACCCTTAAATAGGATTTACATAAGGCAGGAGTCCTTTGTTTCCCAAACATGACCCCCCTTCCCTTACAGTGGAAAGTTACAAGAAGTCCCAGGTAATGTTTTAGTATCAGGTGACAAGACCACCTGACACTGTAGGGTCACAGCGTCCCTGAGTCAGGGGCAGTGTGGAGCATCCACAGGAGGGCCAAGCTTTTCCCAGTCTATTGTCCTCACTGATGGGCCATCCGCCCTGTCTGGCTGTTCCACTGTTGTACCTGAAGTGTTAGCAGGGGGGTCACCGAAAGTAGCATAGTTGGAATAGAGACACACAGTCACTATTCGTAACTTCAGACACAGAAATGGTACAGGCACACACACTGGATAATCACATTCAGTAAATCAGAACCTTTCCAATGAGATCTCACATGAGCCATCTTGGTAAAGTACATCTCAGTTCTGTCATATTCATATCATAAGCATCTTTTCATAATGAATATGGAGTGACACGTCACACTCCTCCTCTCTATGGGACTCCACAGGGCTCTGGCCTCATTACTGCCTCTTCCCCTTCACCCCATTCCCTGGGTGTGCGACCTGCCCCCATTACCTCACACGTCATTTCTGTGCTCGGGACTCACAAATCTCCCTCCCCTCGTGTGACTCGTCCCCCTCCAGCCAGCACCATGCATGTGGCTGTCTCTGTCTCTGACTGTTGGCTCAGGTGGTTCATTGCCAGCTCCAGCTAAGCACAGCCAAGCCCAAACTTCTCATTGTAACTCCTCAGCCCTCTCCATTTCCTGCCTTCTCCAATGCCAGCAACCATCTGGGGATCATCTCGGACTCCTGCCTCCCCAACACCACCTCCTGCTCATCTGCTCATTCAGCCTCATCAGATCTCACCACCTCTTCCTCCGCAGCACCTAGACAATCAGACACTTCCATCCTGTCCTGGAGCAAGCTGCAGGGAAGCTGGAGGGGGGAGCTCAGGCTGCAGGAGGAAGAGTTTGGAGGAGGCACCGGGAGGCCAGTCTGTGGGCACATGATTGGAATGTCAGCAGCAGCTGCAGCGTCTCTGTCACTAGTTCTCTGAGTGAAGAGCCGGTTTAATTTTGGAGACATGGAATCCCCTCCTGTTCTTACCCAACACACGGTACATGAGACATGGCCCAGTGGCTAAAACATGGGCCCCGGCCCCGATCTGCTGTCACCCTGATTCCCGTGACATCCTCTGCTTTGGCCGCCCTGACTCCGACGTCCCGCACCTGGAGTCGATGCAAAGTGCAGATACTGAACTCGTCTCCCCTTCCTGAGACTACGACCCCGTCACTCCTCTCTTCTAACGCTCTCACCAGCCCCCTCTGCCCCCGGGGATCCCACAGGAGCTTTGTGTCCGGGCTGACCTGCTCCTGCCCAACTCTGCTGCAGCCGACACG